AGTGTTATACAGAGTAATTTCACTGCCCTAAATATCATCTCTGCTTCATCTCTTAATCCCCTTTTACTTCTGTCCCAGGCAACCATTAATCTTATTATTGTCTCCATAGTTTGTTTTATCCAAAATGTCAATATAACTGGAATGATGCAGTAAGTATCCTTTTCAGATTAGCTTCTTTCACTTAGTAATATGTGTTTGTTTCTGCCATATCTTTTCATGGCTTGAGAGCTTATTCCTTGTTGATGCTGAATAATATCTTATTTTTTTGAACATACCACAGTTTTTTATTTACTTACTGAAGGACATCTTGGTGGCCCTTAAGTTTTGACAATAATGAATAAAATTGCTACAGATGCCTGTGTTTTCAGCTTGTTTGAGTAAATACTAAGGAGAAGGATAGCTGGACCATAAAGAAAGTATGTTTTGTTTTGTAAGAATCTACCAAGCTGTCTTCCCAAGTGGCCGAACCATATTGTATTCCCATCAGCAGTGAAGGAAAGTTCCTATTTCTCTATATCCTTGCTAGCAGCATTCTGTGTTGACAGTGTTCTGGATTTTCAGCCATTTTTATAGGAGTGCAGTGGTACCTCATTGTTCTGGTTTGCATCTCTCTGATGATATGTGGAGCATCCTTTCATATGCTGCTATCTTTCATATACTATCTGCATATTTTCCTTGATGTATCTGATAACATCTTTGACCCATTTTAAAGTCAGATTTTTTTGTTTTTATATGATTTCTTAAAGGGTTCTTCATATATTTTTATTAGATTTATATTTAAATATTTCCTTTTGGGGGATACAAATGTAAATGGTATAGTTTTTTCAATTTCAAGTTCTACCTGTTCATCCAGGTATGTAGGAAAACAAGTGAAAATATATATTAACTTTTTATATCCTGCAACGTTACTATAATGGGTTATTAGTTCTAAGAGATTTTTTTGGCCATTCTTTTGGATCATATCATCTGTTGAACAAGTACAGTTTTATATCTTCCTCCCAAATCTGTATACCTTTTATGTCCTTTACTTCTCTTATTACATTAGGTAGGACTTCATGTATGATATTGAAAAGTAGTAATGAGAGATGATATTCTTGACTTGTTCTTGATATTTGTGGGAAAGCTCTGGGTTTCTCACCATTTAGTATAATGTTAGCTCTAGAGTTTTGTAGATGACCTGTAAGTTGAAGAAGTTCTCTATTCCTAGTTAATCATACATGAGTGTTGGATTTTGTCAGATGCCTCTCTGCATCATTTAAAAAGAACTTGTGATTGTTCTCTTCTTTATCTCATTGATATGATAAATTATATTAATTCATTTTCAACTGTTGAACTAACCCCCCATAACTGGGATAAATCTGAGTTGGTTATCATTTGTAATTTCTTTTATTGTTGAATTTGATTTGCTAATATTTTGTTGAGAATTTTTGCACCTGTTTTTATTAAAGATATTGGTCTTCTTTTCCATAATGTCTTCATCTCATTTTAGTCTTAAGGTGCAGGCTTTATAGAACGGTAGAGAAAACACTCTCTTGACTTTTATCTTCTGAGAGAGATTGTACAGAATTGGCATCATTTCTTAATATGTAGTAGTGAATCCATCTAGCCCTGATACTTTCTGATTTCTTTTTCTCTTTTTAATTAGCTTGACTTATCAGTTTTATTGATATTTTTCAAAGAATCAGCTTTACATTACTTTGATTTTTTATTTATTGACCATTCATTTTTAATATCATCAATTTCTCCTCTACTTTTTATTGTTTCTTTACTTCTCTGTACTTTGGATTTACAGTAACTTGCTGTACTTTCTCTGATTTTTCAAAGTGAAGCTTAGATAATTGATTGTAAGTCTTTCTTCTTTTCTACACTTGATCTTAGCCAAAAGGCTGAGAAGCGATTCTTCTTTTCTAATATATGCATTCAATACCATAAATTTCCCTCTAAACAATACATTTGCTGCATCCCACAAATTTTGATGTTACAATTTTATTGTCATTTAATCCAAAATATTTTAAATTTTGCTTCAGAATTCTTTTTTGACCTATGCATTAATTAGAAGTATATTGTTTAATGTCCATGTATTTTGGATTTTTTGTTATCTTTTGATATTGATTTTTAGTAAGTTACATTGTGGTCTGAGAACAGACTTTGCATGATTTCTATTCTTTTAAATTTGTTAAGGTGTTTTATGGCCCAGACTGTTGGTGAATGCTCTGTATGAGCTTGAGAGTAATGTTTACTGCTATTATTGGATGCAGAGGTCAAGTGGTTTTTATTAAACTAATTGGTGATATTGTTAAGTTTAACTGTCTTTACTGACTTTCCATGTGCTGGATGTGTCCATTTCTGATTGAAGGTTCCTGAAATCTCTAGATATAATAGTGGATTCATCCATTTCTCCTTGCAGTTTTACCAGTTGTTGCCTTGAGTATTTTGATACTCTTGTTATTAAGCTCATGTGTGTTAAGTATTGTTTTATATTCTTGGAGAATTGATCCTTTGATTAGTATATCTTCATCCCTCACAATTTTCCTTGCTGTGAAGTATGCTGTGCTTGAAATTAATATAGATATTTCTGCTTTTTGGTTTTGGCTTTGTTTTGCTTTTGATGCTAGGGATGAACCCAGGACGTCACACATGCTAAGCATGTGCTCTACCACTGAGTTCCATCCCCAGCCCTATTTCTACTTTCTTCTTATTAGTGTTGGCACATCACATCTCACTTCATACATTTACTTTTATCCAGTATTTTTATATTTAAAGTAGGTTCCTTGTAGAAAATAACTTAGTTTTTAAATCTTATAGTCTTTGCCTTTTTAATTGGTTAATTTAGACCATTGCTGTTTAAAGTTATTATTGCTATAACTAAATTGCCATCTACCATATTTGTTAACTGTTTTCTACTTGTTACTCTTGTATTTTGTTAATTTTTCATTTTCCCTTCTTTTTCTTACCTTTTCTGATTTTAATTGGGCATTTATGTGATTTCATTTTCTTTCCTCCCATATTAATTGTACTTCTTTTTTTATCCTATTTTAGTTTTGCCTCAGAATTTTCATATACACATAAAACTAATTGAAAGCCACTTTCAAGCACCACCAAACCACTTTACAGGTGGTGTGAGTACTTTGTGAAAACAAAATAATCCATTTTTTTCCTCTGGTCGCTTGTATCATTGCTGTTGTTCATTTTGCATATATATATATATATATATTCAAATAAATATTTAGGTATACCTAAATGCATATATTATTGCTGTTATTATTTTGAATAAACTGTTATCTATTAGATCAATTAAGAATAAGAAAAATTTTTCACTTTACTTTTCCTTGTTTTTTCTCCCATATTCCAGTTTTCTTTCTGAAGATCTAAGTTTCTGACCTATATCATTTTCTGTCTCTCTAAAGAATGTTTTTAGACAAATCTACCTTATTCATTAGAGCCTTTTGCATATTATCCCTGATATCTTTGAATCTGATACTTGTTCAGTCTCTTTGGACCATTTTTTTAAACTGTTGATATGTCTTGTAATTTTTTCTTGATATCTAGACTAATACTGGGTACAAGGAACTGCTATAAATTAGAACTGCTCATGGTAAGGCAATGGTCAAGTGTGGGGGTAGAGCAAGTGTTCTCCAGCCACATGATTACTACTCGGTCTTTTAGTGACCCTGTGCCTCTGAGCTGTGAACATCAGATGTGTTTTTCATGTGAACCACCCTTTATGTGGGACAAGATGGTGAAGGACAGAGCTGGCTAGAGTTGGGTATTTCCCTTCCCCAATTCATTTAGCCTCTGATAAGACCCTTTCATGCTGGGCTTTGGTCAATTTCTCTTGAGGGCAGACTTTGTTAAGAACAGAATATTCTGATGTATTTCAAAATTTTCTTGGTATCTCTGACAATAATCAGACAATAATTTTCTATTTATCAGATAATAATTGTCAGATAATAATTGTCTGTTGATCTATCTATCTGTATGCCAGTATTACACCATCTTGGCTATCACACTTTTGCCTAAATTTTCAAATCAGAAATTGGGAATCATCCAAATTTATTTTTATTCATTTTTTTTCTGTTTTGGCCATTCTGGGTTTCTTGAATTTTCATATGAATTTCAGGAGCAGTTTATTAATATCTGCAAAGAAGACAGCTGGAATTTTAAGGGTCTTATTTCATTTTATAAGTAGTTATAAGATGACCTTAAGAAATAATATTTAGATTAATTTCTGGTTTTCTCTTTTCTTTTGAAAGGCTAGTGAGAGTCCCATCTTCTCAAGCTGTTCTAAGATTATTTAAATGCTGCCGTCATTACCTTTTGTTTTATTATGAAATCTTTCAGTAAATTAAAGAGAGTTCCTCATATTTGCTGTTACAAATCAAGAATAGAAATTTTATTTTTTTTGTTTGTGATTAACAAAAAATAGTTTTCCTCTAACTTCCTTGATGAAAGGAAGTTAAGGGTCTTGAGAGGTCTTCTAGTGACAGACCAAGTACATAGTAGTTTGGGTACTAGAAAAAGTGACCCACAGAACTCTTGGGTTGAATAACAGTGCTTACCTAGAGCTCTGTATCTCCAACAGTGTAATTTTAGAATCTTGTATTGAAATCGAGTGAAGATATCTTACTTATAATTATTATTCTTTTAACAACAGAATTGTCCTCCAATTTCCCTTAGTAATATTTTTAAATGTAAGTAGTCTACTAAATATAATAACAGAATATGACACATGACTGAATTAAAAAGGATGAAAAAATTTTTCAGAAATTAACATAGACTAAAGAGAGTGTCTGGGGCACTTAGGAACTAAGTAAATATTGGTTGAATGAGAGAAGGAAGGAAAGGAAGCCCCCTACATGAATCACTGCTTTTAAAACCAGGTCCCTACCTCAGGGATGATTCTAGCTAATCCCTTAAATCAAAATAATAAACCTTGCTTTCAGGTTAGATTGTTTTTTCAATCTCTTAAAGGATAACTTGAGAGTTTCACATTTTTACAGTGTTTATGTCATGGTTGGTGCCGATGTCCCATTTTCTTCTTGTTTACGAGAAGTTGAAAATCCACAGAATCAATTGAGATGCAGCCAAGAAATGGAGCCTGTAATAACCTGTGATAAAAAGTTTCGTACTCAATTTTACATTGATTGGTGCAAAATTTCACTGGTGAGTTTCTGCTTTATTTTGTTTTTGCAAATGTAATTTGGAGTGGTGTGGCAGGACATAACATTGGACTGAATCCTGAATTGCTTTTAGGAAAAAGCCCCAATTTACTTTGTTAACTGCAGTGCACTTCCTCAACTTTACAGATTCGGTTACTTCATCGATGGCGCCTTCATTTAGGAAAGAGTATCTCTAACCTTTGTACTCACTCTACCCTGGATTAGTGGCTGGAGCTGGATTAGCTTGGTAGGTGGTCCAAATGAGCCTGTTGGACACGCAGGTGCTGTTAAATCAGCACAGATGAGGAGTCAGTGTGCAGAAAGCCTCTTCTGAAATGTGCAGCCAGTCTCTCACTTTAGAAGGTGAGAATGGAGAACAATAATGTGCATCTCAATATAAACCATAAATGTCCTTCAAACATCACTTGTAGGAAAAATTCAAGGGACAAGAACTAATTCCTAGTGAGGTATTAGTATCTTGTAGTCTTAAGAATAAATTCATAGGCATTACATTTTTTCTAAAACACTTTTTAATTTATATGCTAAAATAGGAAAATGTGAGATTTCATATATAGGTAAGATAGATGTATGTAATATTTTTAAATATTTATGTTTAATATTTTAAATACATATCCCTGTATATATTTTGATATTGATATCTGAAAAATAGGAAAGTTGTTTTAATTCTATAGTGACCTTTAGATTTAACTTCAGTCAACTTTCTATGATTGGTAGTGAGTGTATTAGATCTAAGTTTAAGGGTGACATTTGAACAAAGTTATTGACGCATAAACACAACTGTCACTTCATGTCTTCCAGCCAACTGCAGGCAGCTTTCCAGGATCCAGTGTTGGAGAACACTGTATTCAGGCTGCAGCACTTAGTGCTGCTCTGGCCTTGTGCCCTGGACTCTTCTCCCATCCTTTGCATCTTTGAAAAATAGTGCCCTTTCTTTGTCTTTTGAGATCAAGTAAAATTATTCTGTTGTACTGTATGCGCATTGTAGTTGAATGTATGAAGCTCACAATTTCAGTTATGGTGCTAATCTTACAAGGGTGTGAAGGAGCAGCAACAACTGTAGCTTAAATAGAACCCTCTATCTAGGTGATTCGGAATCAGGAGGTGGTAGGCCTGATGGACGCCATTTCACTTGTGCTTGTACTGAAACATGCATTTATGTTTGAGAATGCTATCTAATTTCTAGAAGTTTAAAAATGACTTATGCTTTGAAGATTTTAGTTTTTGTTGTAAGGCGTTACCAATGGACAAGCTGGAATTTTTCATTTTTAAATTTTACATGTATGTATTTGTATGCTACCTCCTACCACAAAAGATTGCAGGGGGCTTGAGATAGGGTGGCATAATAAATGTAAGTAACATACTAAAAAGGGAAAAATTGAGACCTAAATTCTTTCTACCCCAAAAAAGTATAAGATCATTAAACCTTCTAATGTCTGGAATGAAAAAAGAAAATTCATCAGTCATTCAGTTCTTTAAAAGACGTAGAATATCAATTCCTTGCTGGGGATTTAGCTCAGTGGTTTCACCACCTGCCTTGCAAGCTCAAGGACCTGAGTTCGATCCCCGGTACCAAAAAAAAAAAAAAAAGAATAGAATATCAGTTCCTTGGCCGAAAAGTCAAGGTTTTACTGGCATTGAATAATACTTCAAGTGGAGTTTTCTGGGAGATAATATTGACTAATGCCACACATAATGCTTCCTTGCACACTTTTGTTGGCAAATGTAACAAATTGCACATGACAACAGATGTAACACATTTATGACCACAAGTGTAACTATGATAATGTTTTTAGTGTCTTTTAATAAAAACCTGAGTACCTAAATGCAACTCATGAAAGCAGTTCAACTTTTTGTTTTGTTTTGTTTTTCAGAGACAGAGTCTCACTATGTAGTTCGGGCTGGCCTCAAACTCACTATGTAGCCCAGGCTGGCCTTGAACTCATGGCGATCCCCCAGCCTTAGCCTCCCAAGTACTGGGATTATAAGAATGCAGCACCATGCCTGGCCATGAAAGTAGTTCAGTTAACTTGGAAGTAAATTGACATAGTCCGAGTATGCATTTTTCATCATGAGATAGAATTCAGCAAAACTGTAGCATTGAATGGTTTCCATGTTCCATCAGCTATCTTTTCCAAATATTACTTCTGTCAGTTGGATGGCAGAAAGATGAGGACTAGGACATTTTGAAATTGTCCTTTTTTGCTTCTTCTCTTTTTCCACTTTTACTAACTTTAGTAACCATACCTGCGTACCTGTTTATCAGCCGGTCTGTGGCTTGTTAACATCATACCACAGGTTTATCACTGGGAAACAGGAAATTTACATAGCAATATGAAAGACTCCTATTTTGGAAGAAGACAAAAACTATATACGTACCTATATTATGTATGTATGTGTACATGTGTAAATTATCTATAGTGTAGGGAAGACATGGAAAATAGCCAAAAGTAGAATGACTTTTGTTACTTTCATTCATTAACTTTCCCTAGCTCCAATAAATAATTGCAAACTTAAAGTGATAAAGCAATCAGAAAAGATGGATTTCTAAGGGAATTTTTCAAAGAATGTTTTGTTGTATCAAGATCTTAAAATCTCATAATGTTTGCAGCTATTAATTTAATGTGTAATTATCTTCTCTTGTATCAGGTTGATAAAACAAAGCAAGTTTCCACCTATCAGGAAGTGATCCGAGGAGAGGGGATTTTACCTGATGGTGGAGAGTACAAACCCCCTTCTGATTCTTTGAAAAGCAGAGACTATTACACGGATTTCCTAATTACACTGGCTGTGCCCTCGGCAGTAGCACTGGTCCTCTTTCTAATACTTGCTTATATCATGTGCTGCCGACGGGAAGGAGTGTGAGTACTTTCAAACACTAATAAAGAATTAGAGAGCCTGCTAAGATAACAACACAAATGATTCCATTAAAAGCAAAGTTTCATTTAGTTCATAAAACACTTCATAAATGAATTGAAATTGTGTTCAAGTCCAACTGCAGTACTTTATTCCTTTAAAATGAATTAAAATAGTTTTGAATCTAAAAAATCAAATTAGGGACCATAATTACTTTATTCAAATATTATTAAGGCTAGATGTAAATCCATGCTGGAAAAAACGGTCCCAGGAATAATTGAGGCTAGATACTTTGGTTGCACAAGCCACCTTGTGTGAGCAGACTGTGGAATCTATTGACATGGTAATTGCACTTTAAATAAACAAATTGTCCTAGTCAGTTTTACCAGAAGTGATGGTCAGAATTCTTCCTGGAATCATTCTGCTGTCAAACAGGGTGTCACAATCTAAATGCTTAAAATATATTTAAAAAAAAACTTAGGAGTAAATTAATGAAAATAAGGTATAATTTGAGTAATGAGTCTTTGCTTCATGAATAGTTAGTACTTTCAGGACATCTATGTCAATTAAGGTAATCTCCTGAGATTATCTGGAAGTCAGAGTAACAAAGCAAAGGATAAAAAATTAATAAAGCAGCAAGTAACAAATTCTTCCATTTTTACATGTAGCCTTATTTCATTATGTCATGAAATTTATTTCAATCAAGAGCTTGATTTTAAGCTCCATTTTTTTCCATTTTTTTGTGTGTACTCTCATCCGTATTCCATCGCTGTGTGTGTACTCATCCAAGTAATACCATGAACCTGGTGGCAGATGCTACCTAGTTGTGTTTGACAGGAACAGCATCAGCATTTCCACATCATGCAATGTCCCATGAGCATAGAGTCTTAATGTTCCAAATATCAATGCTATTATTTAATTCATAAATTTTGTTTTGTTTCTAGGGAAAAGAGAAACATGCAAACACCAGAGTAAGTGTCTTCTTTCCTGTTATTTATCATTTTTTCATTTCTCAGTTGCCCATGATGCTCTTTACATGTTTGTCATGCTTTTTTTTCATTCATCATCTTTCATAGTTTATTTCATAAATGTGAAAGCTGCTTTCTAAATAGAGTCATGTAGGAGGGATCGAAACTAAAACTAAAAAGGGTTTGAAAATGAACCTTACCTAGATAAAAATTAAACCTAAAATATTTCAGATTCAGAATATTAACTTGCCATTTGTATTATGTGATTTCCCAATCTGCATTTTTATAAACCAGAGAACAGATGAAAAGAACTTTCATACCAGTTTTCCTGAATCTACAGTAATAACCTACCATTAAATGAAACTTCTGTGAGTATTTATAAATATGCCCCACAAAAAGCAACAATATAAAAGCATGGTAGTTTTATCTTAATCATAGAAAATAAATAGAAAACTAATTTGTTTCTTAGGGCTGTAATATTAGCACAGTGCTTCATAGCTTAGTTTAATTTGAGGCTTACATACTTCAAAACTAGTTTTGAATTTTCAGTTCTGCTATGTTAAAAGTATGGGAGACAGATGTCTTCCTGAGATAGTTTATAGAATGCCCAAAGTGCAATAATGTCTTATGATATTAAAAGAAAAAGAATTTAACATTTTTTTCAAATTGATGACCCATTAGGCTAATCCACGATCTGAAGTGTATGTTATTTATTTCTCTTTGGTGTAGCATTCAGCTGGTCCATCACAGTGCTATTCAGAAATCTACCAAGGAGCTCCGAGATATGTCCAAGAACAGAGAGATAGCATGGCCCCTGTCAACACTGCCTGTGTTCCACCCGGTGACTGGGGAAATCATTCCGCCTCTGCACACAGACACCTATGATGGCACCAACATGCCACTGATGCAGACACAGCAGTAAGTATCCACTCATAGCCAAGATTAGTATTGTGCATGCATAGTTTAATCCATGTCTGTAAAGACTCAGCTTTTGATTGTTGTTACTTTTGTTTGCATGTTTATAACTAGAAGAGAAAAATCCTACTAGGTAATTGATAATGTAGCTCCTTACCCCACTGGCCTGACACAAAGACAGTAGAATTATTGTTGGGAAATTCTTTTTTTTTTCCTTCACTAATCCAAACAAGACCACATTTGCCTTAATATTTAAGAAAGTGACACTGATAATAAACCACCCTATATGTTTGTTTGGGGATGAGTTAATTGTGAAAAGAGAAACATATACTAAAGCACAGCAATCATAATTTTTTGGAGATGTCATTAGAATTATTTGTTTTTGTTAACCTCTTTTAGCTGTCACAGATCTATGTAATAAAATTTTTTTCAGGACAGAGGGTTTTTAGTTTTTGTATGATCTGCTCGTGTATCGAAATGCGCAGTTCCAATTTGGGCTACAAAGATGTATTTTATTGGTGCAGCCTTCTCTACTGCTGGAAGACTGTGGTTAGAAGGCCTGGAGGAGGACTTTGTAATGCTTAAGGATAGGGCAAGAGGTTGAGGAACCTATATGCCTAGAAGCTAAATTGCGATACATGAAATATTGGATAAAACTGTCATTTACTTTTAAGAACATGGTTCTTTTTTTTTTCTTTTAAGCACTGGAAGTCATAAAATTACTTTTGAAGTCCTCATTTTCAAAGTAAATGAAATGGCTATGCAAGAAAATCTCTCTCTCTCTCTCAACACAGAGATGCATGCGCATATTTTAAAATGTGATATAAAAGTAAATACTAATTAAAACTCTAATCTGGAGGGGCTGTGAGTATAGCTTATTGGTAGATCACTTGCATATGCAAGGCCCTGGGTTCCATCCCTAGCACTACAGAAAAACAAAACAGAACTGGGAAACATGCTGTATACAAAGCGCTTCCTATTGAGAGTGCTTATTATGTCATTAGGTAAAATATATGTGGTCTGCTGGGCATGCGGCCCATGCGTTCTGTAAATCCAGCATTAGGGAGGCTGGGGCAAGAAGATCACTGTGAGTTCAAAACCAGCCTGAACTACATAGTGAGTAATTAAAAACAACTGAAAATAAGTGAATAAATAAAATAAAATGTATGTGGTAATTTGAAAATTAAGCAATAATTGAGATGAGTAGTGTAAGCTATCAGCTTAGACAAATTTGCTGAAAATACTTTCAAAATCCCAAAATATTATAAGTATTCTCCTAAAGCGCTCTAACATCATTTTCTTAGGATTGCATAGGCCAGAAGTGTGTGTGTGTGTGTGTGTGAGTGTGTGCGTGCACATGCGTGTAATTCATCTAGAACCTTTCAGTGGTAAAGGGAAATTATATATATTTAAAATTTGCGTTTGGAATATTATACCAGAGATAAAAATATTTAAGTTTCACAGAGTTTAGTTGTAGTGAATGGAAAACATGAATTTCTGTGCTCTCTGATGGTCAGTGACCCAACTGTTGTGAGTCATCATAAGACCTGGGTTATTTAGTAGATACTGATGAGATGCATCAGGAAAATTTTAAGAATATTATAATAGTGCACAATTTAGCAAACTTTCCTTCCTTTTTGAGATGAAAATTATGAGTGACCTTGTCATTCACCTTCAAAATGAAAAGGAATTTTACTTTAAGACCAGCATCTCTTGTATTGTTTAGTGTACCAGTGAACTGTTTATAAGTATTCTTCAAAAATGAAATAGTCAAATATACTTGGAAACCAGGTTTTGTTTGTATGTTTTTTAAGATTCAAGAGTTCTTTGGAGCATCTTGCGTGTTGATATATTTTTTGAATCCCTGGGAAAAGGTCAGAATAGCTAACTTTTCAGAGAACAGAGTTTGAGAAATGCTTCTATTGACAAAATAACAATGCTATAAAGTTAGAATACAAAGCTGTTATAGTAAGTGGGAGAAATTGAATGTGTTTGTCAGTAAAACTATTGCTGGTGAAGTTTAAGGGAGGAAAAAAACCTGTCATTGTTTAAGATAACTCTTTCTAACCATATATATTGAAAGTAAGAATAGCTCCTGAAAAATTGTTTTGATTCCCTGAGGTTAGCATTTTGCAGTGTTGCTACTAACATACAAACAAAATAAAATTTTCTCTCTAGTTTACACTCAAATGCATCTTTCTGGCCCCTCCATAACCCCATCAAATCTGTCATTATGTTGATCAGACCTATTTGCAAATGCAATGTTGAACTTGCAACAATTTCAACATATATGTGTTTTTTAAGTCCAGAAAACCTTCCTATTATTCAGATTCCTGCTAATGGAGAAGCTCCATTAACTAGCACAACTATAGAAATAGGTTTCATGGGTAATTGATGATGTTCACAGTGATTATTCTGAGGCACTGCAGGATCATCAAGTACATCTGACTCATCAGAGGAAAATTAAATTACATTTGGTGTTGTTTCAGTGTTGAGTGTATATTATCTTTCTTTTATTCTTGGAAATGGATAATATGTGCATGGTCTCTATGGTAACTCCCTATAAGCCAGAATATGTGATTAACCTCATTTTCCAACCATGCCAGATAATAGGGAATTTATTGTATCAGGTTCATCATAGCTACCCTTTATGCAAGTTCAGCTTTTACACTTTCACTGAAAAATATAGTTGTTGTTGTTGTTGTTTTAAAGTTTTATTTCAGCTCCCAGTAGACACATATAAATATTTTGGTCTTTTGGATAGAACTGAACTTTTCACATTTAAAATGAGATATTATATTTGATGAGGCATTACAATACTTTATTATCAGGTATATACTTAGATAGTGTTGCTTTGTAACTATAATTAACCCATCCTAAAGGATATGTATTTCATCTTCACATATTCATACTACATGTACTGAGTTTATCATTCATAAATAATTGCCCAGCTATGGACTTCATGTTTATTCTTCAGACTTGACACCAGAAACATTCAAGTATAAGAACGTGGTTAAACATTTATGTGGGCTCCTAAGTAAGACTCATGAAGGTTGAAAGATTTCCTTCAAAGCTGCATAGAAGTTAGTTTGGTCTTTTAAACGAGTCAATCCACCTCAGAAGTATAGAGAACTTTCAGCTGCTGTATAATGAGGGACTACCACTGTTACTAGTTACACTGTCTGTTTTCTTTTTGGGAGAATGCTTCACAGAGCTCCAGACTGGCACCATAAATTATCCAGTAAAAAAAAAAAGTTTAATCATTTGTAGATAATAAATTTGAGATCCTGATAAGAGACAAAGCTAAATTAGGTCAGCACTGAGATAAGATTATTTACCTATACTGATACCTTCTCAGGGATTGATAGTGCAGTCATTGACCTCAGATGCATCTCTGATACAACCTACAAGCAAAATAAATACAGAAAGAGAAGCCAGTGTAGAACTGGCAGGCATAACCCTTGCTCCAAAAGGAGGGAGAATACCTTTTGTACACCATTCATTTTGCTTTTCAAATCACAGACAATATAAACAGGCTGTTAATGTCACATAGTCTAAAAATGTAAGGTCAGCATAATTTGATCTTTGCTAATGTATTCTTTAATAAGTATTTTTGAATTTTGAAATGATTTTAGAGGTACAAGAAATTTACAGAGATACTATGGGGAGTCCTCAGATACTATTGGTAAGTTCCTGTGTGTGTACATGGTCACCATGAAGAATGCTGTGTTGGTCATTACCATTACCTAGACTCAGACTTTGATGTCACTAGTTTTTATAACATATTATTTTTCTGTTCCAAGATTCTGTCTAGGACATAATCATCATCACGTGTCCCTAGTTTCCTCTGGTCTGAACAGTTTCTTAGACCTTCCTCATGTGCAATGACCTGGATAGCATTGGAAGCTGTAGGCTTCTGTAGGTTCTGTGGACTGCCCCCCATTCCCTTACCTAGTCAGTCTTTATTCTATGTACTTACTTCTGTCTTTGTAGCTCAGTGAATAAATATTAACATTGATAGTAGGAAGAAATTTTTCTTCTCTAAGGCAATTCCTTTATTGCAGTTTATCTCTATAAATCATATTTTAGAATATTCTTAAATGTAAATGGCCTTTTCCCAAAGAATCATTGCTGTGTTTGGGGATTATATTAGTGACACAAGGTTTAACATGAAAAACCCATCGCAGATTTGGTAGGTGTACCTCAGAGATAAACTTTTGCGATTATTTAAATGAAAAACATTCAAGTCATAGAGTTTTAAGTTCTAAAGTTGAGAGTCTAATGTAGTTGTTCCCAAACTGCGTTCTACGTCAATGTCACTGTGGAGCACACCCAGTGCAGATCCTAAGGCCCTGAATGTGGGGTTTTAGAGGATGGTAGAAGAGCATGTTATGGGAGAGAGAAAAACAGAAAAACTGTTGAGAATCCCTGATTTAAAGGACTTAACATTTTAAGATGGGGAATATCTAGAATATCTGGCATTTCTGATGAGGGGTACACTTTTCCACACCTCCTTGAACTTCCTAAAGATGTGAAGAAATTAGTGCTCACCAGTGATGTAGCTCAGTGGCGCCACACCTGTCTGGCAAGTGTAAGGTCCTGAGTTCAATTTCTGGTACCAGCAAAAAGAAAGAAAAAGAAATTAGTGCTAATCAGAAGGCATTGCCTCGTCATCATATTGTATACCTAAAATGTACCAATAAGCTTAATGAATTTAAAAAAGAAAGCATTATTTCAATGGGAGAGAAAAATGCTAAATGTTGGAAAGCTAAAAATCACTTGGAAAGTGTAGTCTGTAATTTTATGCATTGGTGAAAAGACATTGACAAGAGGATCCCAAATATTCAATTTCCTAAAAAATCAATGCGTTGTTAAATTTGTGAGGAATTGTGTTGCCTTTTAGGGGGAAATTCTGTCTCCTTATTATTGTTTTCTTAAAACAATATATACACTGGCTGATTTTTTTTGTTAGTAGCAAGGATCTTTATAGGGACCCTTAAGTAATGAATACTGCGGGAAAGTGACCCACACATTTTCCATGAAGATTTTAATTGGCTATTCAAAATTTTTCCTTATTCATTATACTAAACATAATACCTAATCCAGGATAATTAGATGTCCTTTAAAGCAGGAAGTAGGTTTTGCTTAATCTTTTGCAAACTAACAAGTACAAAAGTAGAATTAAATCTTCTAATTAAAGATAATAACTAATCATTTTGACTTTTATTTAAGTATTTTTCTTTTGTCTTCCCTTTGGTAATAATGAGAACTAACTTTAAGATAAAATTCCATAAATAAGGAATTAAAGCTTAATAAAAGTATCAGTTTGCAGAAACTGTTTTGGGGGACCAAAATAGTGGCTTCTTGCTGACAAGAACTGTCAATCAGCCAAGGTTGTTTCAGAGCCATTAACTTTTAAAATTTATTTTTTATCCAGCAAGGTAGGTGATAGGTATAATATTGCTTTATGGATTTTGGTTCTATAAGTTTAATTGCTTTGATTTAAAGCTGTGATAGATTTTCTTTGGCTTTGTGCAGTTCAAGGTAAAATGGCTCCTTTCCCTTTTGATAGCACGCAGAGCACTACATTGATTATAAGGAAAATTAAAGATTTGAAATTTAAAATTATGATATTTCCAATTTTTTGTGACCCTCTCTCTGTCCTTCCTCCTTTCCTTCTGGCAAATAATGACCTGATTCCTCAGCAAAATTAGTTGTAGGTCCCAGCTGGGCATGGTATCGCATACCTATAATCCCAGCTACTAGGGAGGAAGACTGAGGCAGGAAGACTACAAGTTCAGAGCCAGCCTGGGCATTGATAGAGAAATCTTATTATCAAAATAAAAATTTTAAAAGGGCTGAGAATGTAGCATATAGTGGGAGCGTTCTTGTCTAGCATATATGAGTCCTTGGGTTCAAAAACAAACTATTTAAAGGTCCAAATCATAGTTTTTAGAGAAAAAAGTTGTGGCAATATCAGTTTTACTATAATAATGGGAAATTCCTGAAATATTATTACTATTTATTATTGTTAAATATCTCCATCCTATGTTAAAAAAAAAATTTTGGTATTCTTCCTAACTAATATCATTTTCCTTCTGCTCTGCCATACATTCTGTGGCTTTATGCAAATCAGTTTGCTTTCAAATCTTCAAGCAAGTAACAATATAATCAGATGGTTATCATCCACCTTACTCATAAATTACTCTACAGGGTATCCAAGAATGTCAAATTACCTTGAAAGAGTTTTACAAATAACAAATAATTGTATACTCCCCAAATCACTTATTTCTTAATTTGCAAGTTATTGCCTTTGCTTTCTCAAAGAATGAGGTTTGTGCAATGACTAATTTATACAATGTTCTACTTAAATGCTTGTAATTAATGGCAATAAAATCAGAAAATAATTATTGCTAGTAATTTAGAAAATTACAGTTTTCTTAACTTTCTATGTAATGGCACAGTTTACACATTATAACCTTTCAGTTAGTCCATTAATAACTTAATTATTTTAAGTAGTTTTATGACTTAATAATGGTCCTTTCTTTGAGGGATTATAAAGTCTCTATTTGAAGTCAACCCCCCACTCTCTTTCTGCATTTTCTGCATCTTAATTCAAGTATAGTTTGGTATTTCCAGTGTTCCGGTAGCAGTACTCCTATGAGGTACCACTCTAACTCTTAAGAGAATATGCAAGTTCAAATACGTCCATCATAGAATTATTATACTCTAATGTTCACTGGCTCACAGACAGTCACACGTTCGGGCAGCCACAAAATTAGAGCTTTGTGTACACACCTTGAAGACTTGGGGGAAGTAGAATCTCAACTTTTTTTTGTTGAGCACTCTTTTGTACACACAATCATGTTTGATATAACTCTTCTAAAGTTTCAATTGAAAACAAAAGGAATGTATGTGCATTGTTCAAACTTAGCCAACCACATATGTTCTATAGGTACTTTTAAGTCACCACATCAATGTAATGTACACAATTGCTTTCTCACACATCTTTTTTAAAGTTTCTTAGTAGTCTGTGTGTACAACACTTTCTCAAACAACCATCTCCCATCAACTAGCCAAGCCCAATATGATTTTGAAAGCTTGGCAGTGTAGTGGAGGAGGAAAAACTGGAGGCTAGAGAAGAATTGACAGGACATAGGTTGACTTTGGTCAGTGGTTTTCAACTAGTCTTCCACAGAAGGATGTGTTGGAAGGAACAAAACAAGAGAGGATCCCATCTGTTTCATCCAGATGCTGTCTTGAATGTAGGAGAGTCTTGGCCTAGGGCTTTTGAGAAACCTGTGTCTTTGTTTTACCAACTACTGCCTATGTGAGAACATTGATATTGTATGTTTTCTGCCTCCTCCTCCTCCTTCTTCTCCTGTTTTTCGTCAAAACATGATTAAATCTGTTAGTAGACTAGGTGGAGCTAGAGATGACAGAGGAGAATGTGGTTGTGTATGGCCTGTGTGGATACATAGAACTGCTGTATTCAGTTAGAGTGCAAAATAGACTGAAATCAGATATACCTGAGTCATTAAAATAAAATGCATCTTCCATCCCACCCCAAGATGCTGACATAAATATATTTTGACTTTTGTAATAAAGGTGTTTGTCTTTCCATTTTTAAATCTAGAACTTATTTCCTCTGTGTAGTTTCAAAATTCATCTTTTTACTTTTATTACCAAAACCAATATGCATACATTGTGTGAAATACTAAGGAGCAGATCAAAAGAAATACAGTACACCCTTAGACCACATGAAGATAAGTATGGTTAATACATAATAGCAAAAAAAGAATGTGATCATTGGGATGAATTATTACTTTCCTTAAATTGAATTAGAATTGACTTTTTGTGAAAACTAAAACAAAATGTCATAACAATAATAAGAATGACAATAGTTAATACACTGTATCATTATCTTCAAAGTACTCAGAGTAAAAGACATCGAAAAAAAGATTCTCTCTTATAAAGAAGAAACAGATAATAGCATGACTGTCTTTTCAATGAACTAAGTGAAACTACTAGTATAAATGAAACAAATTAGCATATATATTAAAATATTTTTGAAACAACAGAATAGATAATTTGGGGAATTATATGAATTTCTCTCTACTTCCTATGTATCTATAATACATTTTATAGTTGGTCATATAAGAGTTGATTTTGTTGTTTTCTTAGTAGTATAAAATAGAACTGATTTCTTAAATACTCAGACACACTAGAGATTGAGTTTAAATAGTATTTAACTAGCTTGCACTGTTTTTTGCTTTAGATCATTGCATTTGAAACATAATCTTTGCCTGGCTGAAATGACTCAGATCAGTGATTTTCAGACTCTCGTTTCTTGGAAGTTTCTTAAACATGCCTTAGGGGCCAGCATGTGGGACATAGGAAACAAAGCAGGCAGGATTCTTAAGTCCCTTGTTTCAACCCAGGGAACTCACACATTTCTCTTTTGTAGATCAGATTTGGGCTGAGGATTTCGATTAAAAGGAATTTCATTACTGAAGAAAAAGTAAAACTTGGGAATCCCTGGCTTGTATCAAACCTTTGTAGCAAAGGGCTGACTCCTAGAGTTTTAGCCACACAGAACCTAAATTGTTCATTTCCATAACGTAATATTAAGATCAGAATTTGAAACACCAAGTGGATATTTTTGCATGTTAATGAATAATGTGTATTTTGTAAGTCTTTGTAAATACCTTCACTTTTTTGCATTTTCATTCAAAAATATCATACACTTCCTGTTGGAAACAGTGAAAAAATTGGATAGTTCATACTAATAAGGCACTTTAGAGTAACTAAATAGTAATCACAGAGAAATACAATAACAATCAGCTTGAATAGCATGAATGCATGTGAAACTTATTTTGCAGATAGCTGTAAGGGCATATTGAAATGTTATTTGAATGACATAATCAGATTTGTGTCTTAGAAGAGCATGCTGACAGCAGCACACAGAGTGGATTATAAGGGAGCAGAATTGTGAGGAGATAAATCTGTCAGGTATAAGGATGCAGGTGAGAAATGAGGACACCTTCAACCAAGCCAGCAATGGAGGTAGTGACGAAGGGGAGAGTCCAGTTGATTGAGGAGAAATGGTTTAAATCCCCAAGTGATTGAATGTGGGTATTGAAAGAGAGGAAGAATCAAGGATGATTTCCACATTTTGACCAGTGCAGTTGGGTGGATGGATGGCCATTCCCTGACATGACGAAAAAGACCACAGGTCTGAGAGTGAAAGAAGGTGGTAATGTGCTTTAAAAGCCTCTTATGACGTGATAAGTGACAAAGTATGAGCTTCCCTGTATGTTATGGTCCTAGATCTGAAAGTATGCAGGTTGGGAACATAATTTCTAGAATAACTGTGTTCACATCTTTATCATATGCTTCCTAGCTATATGGCTTTGGCCCTCTGAAGCTATTCCTCATCTGTAAAATGGGAAAAATAATATCCACCGCTTTGGCTTGTTACAAGGTAGTTTAGAACATAGCATGTAGTGAGAATTCCATAAACATTAGCAAATATAATTCTTATCTTCCTCAGACCTCAGTCTCCTCATCCGTAAACTTGTGAAGGGCTGGAGGAGTTGTGCTGGCTTGTATGATCTGCAGATTTTCATTCTAATATGTCTGCTTTCTATTTACATTTATGTAAACACACTGTTACTCAACCATGTTAATCGTTTCTAGGAACTTGCCGCATCAAACTCAGATTCCCCAACAGCAGAGTACAGGTGAGTACTAAAAATACTAACCTGATGTTTATGAATGATGCTAACAGATTAAAAGACAACTATAGCCCTGTATAATTTGTGAAGGTTTAGCTTCACCAAGTAAGGCAAAACAGTTGTATCATTCTTTAATCAGACCTAAAACCTCAGAATAATAGCTTAGATTATTGCATAGATTGGCATCAGAATGATAAACACAGAGCAAATGATCTTAGAGCAAAAACATCCACGTAGGTCTTGTCTAATTAAGGAAGACTGAATAAAACCCTCATCCTTCGGTGGAGCTCCCTATTCTTCTCCTTGGTATGAAAGATTTTTAGCTTGGATGCATCCAGGATTTGTCTCAGTAAGTGAGCAGCTTGAAACTGACTCTTACAAAAGGAAGCCATTGTGACTAATCACTGAGGCTTCAGGGGGATAAATGAAAAATGGTTGGCCTAGTTTTAAAGCTGCTTTAAAAAGCTGTTGTAACATGACCAGTAACAACAAGATGGTGGACAATTCTCCCTGGACTATTCTATTTCCTTTAGACTTGCTTTCTTTAAGTTTACTTCAAGTGTCCCTAAAAATTTTCCACAGCCAATTATTTCATTCATTTCAGTACTGAGTAGATTACTTATTCATGATTGTCTTCTAATTAGTGGTTGATTCCTAGTTCTAATTGCCAGGCAACCAGTAAGGCCTTTGTAGCTCTTTTGGAAAAGCAAGAGAAGTTTTAAAAAATGTAAGTTGGGTGTGGAATTCTAAGTATGAATAGTGGCATTGTGTCAGGGAAGCTATTAAGAAAGTCTCTTTAAAACCGTCAGGCACATATAGAAATGTATTGAATGTTTTGATTCAAAAATTATCTTCTCTATTACTGCTTTCGGGAATTTAAGGAGATTTTCGTTTGACAACTTTTCAAAGATTTGAGGCAAGTATAATAAAATTTCTCATCAGATTTTAATTATGAGATAATGTTTGTCTGAATTCCCCCCCCCATTTTGATTACTTGTTTTAATTAAATGCTAACGTGATTCAGCAAGACTGTTCAATATATTGATGTGTTGGTGCTACTTTGTAAGCTTTCAAGAGAGTGATGAAGAAACAAACTTTGTTAAAACCTGTGTCACCAACAGAGAAAAAAATGAATCTTTACTACCACTGATTTCATGGCTACTCTTTTTTAAAGAGAAAAACGTTTGAAGAATATCCTTACAATAGGTATTAATTTCTTCCTTAATAATATCATAGACTTCTATCTCTCCTGGGATATCTGTCTCCTGATTCTTGATTGTATAGGGATTGGAGTGAGTCAGAAGAAAACAATTCCTAGAAAAAATACTAATTTTTTTTAATATTTAGAAAACCTAGATTTTACATATTTATAGACTAGGAGGAATAGAAAACTTGCATAGATGATAGTAAAGATGATATTAAAGAATGATATGTTTTATAGTCCCACACACTTTTAGCAAATCAACTTGTTAGTGTTTCATGTAAGTAATAGGGAGCTTTTACAAATACAAGGAGAATTTATGCTTTGAACAAATAAAAGCCAAACACTTTCCCTGGGGAAATTTTAGGCTGTTCCACTTGATTTTCTAAATTATTTTCCTAAAACAGGTTTTGGGGAACAGGCATTTTGCTTGAGTCAGGAAAACTTTGATCTCCTTTTTAGTTAGTGTGATAGCTTGTTACTTTCTTGTTTTCTTTCATTTTTCTGCAATTTAGATCATGTTGTTAACTAAAGTGTAGTCTCTCTTGGTTGTTTTGTCGTTCCTCTTGTTTTATCATCGAATCTCCAGTACCTTGCGTGCTGAAGGTATAGAGACCACCCTAGCATTTTGTGTAATTATGAAAGATTGCTTTATTTTTGCATCTCACACATTTCTAGCTAAGTAGAGTCATGCCTCCCAGAGAGGGATGCTAAATGGGCAGTTGCATTCTTTATTCTCACTCTATTCATTTAAATGGAAAAATGAAGTTTGTTTCTCCATTTCTAAATTATTCTTTTCTGGCTGTTCAGATTCAGTGCCATTTATGTATTTTCATGCATACAGTTGAGTTGCTCCATTCTTTTCCCTTGGTTATTCTAGTGCCATAATGAGGCGGCTCCATTTGCGCATGATTATCATGAAACAGTACTGGCTTTATTCATGTCCCTCCAAGCACTATGCTAGTGTCAAAATTTTCTTCATGGAGATAGACACAGAGTTTGTCTCTCAGAGGGCAAGTAATTTTATTTGTAGCAGCCTATGTGGACGTTATCAAGGGAGTCTAGATTTTAAAGTTTGTTTCATGTAGTTTAAAAGAAATTCTTATATAAAGTTTAAGAAGTACAAAAGCTATTGGAGTTATATTCCTGGGCTTGAAAACTAGCTGGGATAATACAGCAGTTAAAAGCTGATAGTAATATAGCCTTTTGGATGAGGCCCAAACCTCTAGGTTTAATGCTCTTCAGGTTTTCTCATTTTTTCTCTCTACCATTCCAACCCACATGGTATTTCTTAAAAGCCATGATTAAAAGATATGGTCATACAGCCTGCAGTCAACCTTCTTCTATTTGTTTACTGTGGAAGAAAGTTTCAGGCCATACCTTTTGAGAAATATAAAACATTGCAGCATTGGTTCAAGAAGGAAGGACTAATTTAGGAATTTTTCCACTTCTTTAAAAAAGTACAGAAAATGTGCCATGTAATTATTTTAAATTATGTTAAGGAGATGGAAAATTTCTCATTGCCACAATTTGTTTTGTGCAGCACCTGAAAATATCTGTGGCCTACCTAACTCATGCTCATATTCGTTCCTCCACATTGCAGGTAAATGGTATCCCTGAAGAAAGGAAACTGACCGAGGCAATGAATTTATAACCAGACAATACTGCAGTGATGTGTATTTCTTTTCTTTCCCCAAAATGCATGAATTCTTCTGGCATCTGGTGTGCATGTTGACAGTATTAAGTATGTACCAAATAATACAGCATAACTTTCATTTTACTAATGTATTTTTTTGTACTTAAAACATTTTTGACAATTTGTAAGACATTGATGACTTTATATTTGTTACAATAAAAGATGATCTTTAAAATAAATATTAATGAAGCCTAATGTCTGGTAAAATTTACTGCAGAAATGAAAGCATTTGATTGCCTCCTATTTAGTAGGAATGTTTTAGTTGCTAGAATCAGGGTTCTGCATGTATCCTCATTCAACAAGATTTTAATAAGTGCTTCCAATGAATATATAAATTGTCTTTGCTTCTGTGTTCAAGTAAGCAATGCATTTAAATAATCTAATCCTTGCTGACTGGAAAGCCTGTTGTTTGTATCACACTTTTTCAAGTGTTTCAGAGTAAACCCAGTGTTAAGAATTGTGGAACCAATAACATCCAAGTCATCAGGGCATCTCGGGTTGTGTGTTCACTTGACTTCATAGTCAGATATTTGCCTTAGATTCATGTCAGGAGCTGTTAAACAGAGAGAACAGTCACTAATAACAACATGAATCAGTGCTGTGGGGGTCCCTGCAGTGGTAACTTCTGTGTTCCAAGTGTAGCAGAGATTCCTCATGCAATGCTTGCCTATTTCATAAACTGTGGACACTTTGAGCAGTATACATCAGGTCAGCTAGCAGGGCAGCTTTTATTGCAGGCTGGGCCAGCTAGAAAACCTTCTCCTGCTCTGGTCTGAGAAAATTGCTGTACTGCCTGTTAATTGTTCAGAGGTCCAATTAAATTTCTTTGTTACCTATTAATTGTGTCAGAGGTCACACAAATGCTACCAGATTCCAAAATCTGAAAGTAATCCCCGTGTTTAATGTGTGCATCACCTTGCCTTCCATTTGGGGGGATACTCTATGTCTTTGGTTTTAGAGCCCCTCTCCCCACTTCTTGCTGGAACTTAACAGAGGAAGTCAATCTTGTATTTCTTAAAGATCTAACTCTTACTCCTTTCCAAGTCAGGTAGGGCATTGCCATTTGCTGTTCTCCAGGAGTGCTCAGCTTGAAGTTGTAAGTGTACCATGTCCAGGTCAGATCCTAGAAGGAAGTAAAGGTCTTTCAGGTCCAGAAGACTAAGTTGTGACACAGAGACAGAGTTGACAAACCACAGCCTCTGCTAAGTGAAGTCAAATTTTCTGGTCATCGAAATGAGCGAGAACAAGGTCATGCATGGTTACAAACAGGGAGCTGCCACTCAGAACTTTAACTCATCTATTCTGGTAAAGAGCTGTGCTGAGGGCTGGAAAACACACTTGGATTTAGCATTGGTTTTTGCACTGATTATATTGAGGAGTTTAACAGGGATGAAATCATTCTCCAGCATCCCACAAATCAATAATAGCTTTAATCTCTACAAATCCTTCAGGGAAAAAAAAAAGAAAAACCTTGCCTCTGAGTTACTATTTTGAAGGGGGGAGAGTCCAAATACTTTCCCCTTAATGGTCACTAATACCTAATCCTTCCTTTATGGGTTAAAAAAAAGTGAGAATTCTGCCACTTGCTGAGGATTTCTGTCCCAATTATACACACTCAAAGTGGGAGAATGGCTGCATAGTGATTTTTGTGTCCCAAAAGTAAATTTAAAACACCTTTTCAGGAGGGCATGGTGGCACATCCCTGTAATCCCAGCAGTCAGAAACACTGAGGCAGGAAGATCACAAGTTTGAGCCCAATTTAGTGATTTAGTAAGACTCTGCCTCAAAATAAAAAATTTGAAAAGGGCTGGGGATGTAGCTCAGAGAAAAGACTCTAGGATCAATCTCTAGTCCCACAAAACAAACAAATTTTAAAAAAACAACAAAAAACCCTTTTTCAGTTGTCCCTGTGAGCCATTGCCCTAAAAAAAAGATAGTGGTTTTCTGCATTTTATATTCCAGATATCCCCTAAAAGTTTGTGACTTTTCTTTCCTCCAAACTATAGTCACCCATAGAAATGACCACCTGTTTGTTTGTTTGGGGTTTTTTTGGTACCGGGGATCAAGCTCAGGTCCTTGTGCTTGCAGGGCAGGTGGTGGAACCACTGAGCTAAATCCCTGGCCCTGACTACCTATCTTTAAAGAAAGATCTATGTTCAATGTCCTTCTGATATTCCTGAAGCTGCAAGATTTGTCATCGTCCCTCAAGTCCAAAGTCTATAAACCAGTTCCTTAGAACTGAACCATGATTCTTGAAAACATTGACATGGATAAGGCCATTTTCTACTGAACTTCTGTGTTTATATTTTCGTCCATCACCTCTTACCTTGGACATTGGAGGCTAAATAGTATGTATTACTGGGCATAGAGCAGTAAGGAATTGCTGATCTGTGATTACAGGTACCATCTGCAGTAAGGAAAGTGAAAGTTCCTTAAACATTTATTTAAGTTCAAATATCATTAAAAACTTCATATCTTTATGTCTACCTTAATGTTTGTTTTCTTCATGGAACTCTTACTGTCTTGGTAGAAGAGAGCAGCAGTTAAAATGTTAAGCTAAACTTGAGGGTAAAAGAATACTTAGAAGACAATTAATTAGAAAGTAACATCAAGGCCAATACCTCCCAGCACAGATGCAGCAAGTCAGTGAGATATATGACCTTTGGACAATGGTCCAAGATTTGAGCTGTCACTGTCCATGTCTTGACTTTAACCAATTGAGTGGTTAAATAAAACAGTCAAAAAATACTAAGATACATTTGCATTTGAAAATTTCCATAGAACACTCCTACCATTTAGTTATTTGTTGCATGTCTGATGTGTTAATATGAATGAGGCGGTACCCTCAGGATACAGCAGTGAGCCAGACAAGAAACAGGCTCTGCCCTCATGGAGTTTACATTCTAGTAGGAGAGACAGGTGCTGATCAAACTTCACACAAATACTGTCAAGCCGCAATTGTAACAACTGCTATGAGGCCGTGTTGTTGGTGCTCTGAAAACCTATCACAGGGGTACCTGGCCTAACCAGCAAGGTCGGAGAAGCTTCCCTAAAGCAATTCCTGCTGAAGCAAGAACCCTAAATAGAAATTCGTCAGTTTCAGAGAAAGAAAAAGTGTCTGAAGCAATTAAGAGAGTGTGTCTAAATCCCTTAAGGACAAGAGTTCCCAGTGAGCACAGGGCTGCGTCAGAGTCCAGTTGCCAGAGTCCAGAGGTGAGGTAAGGATGGTGGTCAAGTGTGGGAGAAGGCGAAACCTGAGAGGTATCGAGGACCAACCTCTGCATGAATTTAAGGCAGAAAAAGGAAGTCCAGAGGATTGTAAGAATGAAAGATGGCTATGTGGTCATGTTTAGGGTTTTTATGCAAGTAAGCTAACAACAATAGAGAAAACAGACTGGGGAGGATAGACCGGTCAGGAGTCCATTACAGATACAGCTGGAGAAACGGTAAGTTTGACTAGGGTGGGGAGGGGACTCAGGAGCTACTCAGAAAGTAAAATAGACCCCAGTTGTTGGTACATTGCTACTTTGGAAATTGCATGCTAAGGAACTGAAGGGGGCCAATCAGATGTACGGGTTTTTCTTGTCCAATTAGTGGTACTAGTTATTGTGACAGATAATACTGGATGTGAACCAGGATTGAGGAACACAACAGGAGTACAGTTTTAGGCAAGGTGAAATGGAGTTGGTTTTGAGGAAACCAAGGGAAGGAGGCCAAGGGGTGTATGAATTTGAAGCTCTGGTTGGCACTATGACTGATAAGTCATCTATCTGGGTATGAGTTGGCACCAAAGCCATGGGAGGTGATGAGAAAATGGGCTATCACTATGTCACTTGAACATTCAACCAGCCAAAATGTGTTAGTTATTCCTCCAGCAGGACAGGATACATGAAATTGGATAATTGTTAGAATCTAATGGTCAGAGAATGTTAGGAATATTTTATTTTCACCTTTCACAAAATTGAAATGTAGTATTGCTTAAGATTTGTATAGAAATTATATTACTTTATTAATAAATCTTACATTTTTAGACATTGTCCATTTGCTACAGTGATTTTTGTGGTCAGATAGTCTCACTTTACATTCAGTAAATAGGGTAAAACTCATCTTAGTTTATCATGTTTTTATATTCTGTTTAATTTTTATGTAAGAGTCTTCTTATTACCTTAACCTGGAGGTCCATGAGTATACCTAAGACAAGTTAAGTGGTAAGATGATGAGGAAAGATTGAAATAAAGTAGTCTATTAGAATAATAGACCCCTGTCCATTTTTAATTTAAACATCTCAAATTATCTTATTGGATTGAGCATATGCACCACTTTATGCATTGAGTTTTATTTAGATCCTTTTATATTGTAAGCATTGACTGATGTACTGGTGAATAAAACAGACAAGTGTGTTATGAAACACAGTAAACTCTAGTACACTGTCCAGCCCTAGTTGGTGCCAAATCAGTATTGTTGAGTGAATTAACCTAATGTCTCATCTAAAGCTTATGAAGGTTAAAGAAGAGTATTGTAATAAGAAGAGGAAAGGAGCTACATAAATGATGAGAAATGGTCTGTCCAAAGAGGAAACATTTAAGGTGAGATCTGGAGAGCATGTTTCCATCGTACTTAGCAGTCTTCTCAGGGGAGAAGCAAGAACACAACCCTGGAGCAATGTAACAGAAATAGATGGTGGCAGTTTTATATTCCCTGCCACACTTTCAATTCAGATGGTTCTGTTTGAGCTGGTGAGAGATCTGGCACCAGAGGACAGTTCTGGTTAATGAGAGCATCATCCCTCTGGACAGTATTTAGACCTCTGAGGCAGGAGAGCCCGTGAGCCTTAATTCAACTTTACAGGAACTGCTGACAGAGAGAGGAATGTGTATTTTTCTGATGTACTTAAATCTTGGGAGTAAATAAGGCCAACGGGAAAATAAGCTTAATGACATAGTTTATGTTCTGTAGGCAGTTGGGGTAGGTGACACTTTCATCTTAACCTGAACAAGCTCCAGAAAGTGGGAGCATATTGACCAGGAATGGAGAGTGCATAAGGGTGATTCTGAAAATGTGGACATAGTCCTATGAGTCTTATAGATGAATCAAAGAGTTTAGGTTTTATTCTAAGAGCATTTGAAGTAGAAAAATGACATCATCCAATTTATATTTAAAACTTACTCTGGGTCCACAAAGATGGTGAGGACTGC